ACACACACACACACACACACACACACACACACACACACACACACACAGAGTAAGGAGACCTGGAGAGTGTTTCTATCTCAACATTATCTCTGAGAAACTTTACGTTGTACTCTTCTTATGATGTGGTGAGCAGAGCACATTATCAGAAGATAATGGGGTCTGATGCAGTGTTTACCTGCTGGTCAGCATGCACCACCACCAGGTTGCTGGTTGTTGGGTTGATGGCTATGGCAGTGGGACACGAGCTGTACACTGGAACTGTGCAATGAAGCTGCAACACACACAGACATTTAGCCGTTCACTGTTGCTGCTTTGGCTACAAATTGAAATTTGACCTCGATACGAGTTCAAACTCACCGTTAGCTTGTCGAGGCTGTAGACGTGGATCTCACAGTCGGCGTTTGCTGTAGCGAGCCATTTGCCATCCTCACTGGCAAACAGCAGGTGGACTGGCTGTCTGGAGCCTGGAGGCCACATAAGCACTTGTTACACACTGAAGCAGAAGCTGCAGGCTGCTAGCGCGAGTTCACTTTGTGTCATGAATGTAGTTTTCACAAAGTTGGTTTTGTTCTCTTCAACATCTGAAGCAAGATTCAACATCTCATAAAGATGAAACAAACACATTTTCTTGAATATTGGCCATGTGTATGAATGTCGATGACAACACTGAACGGTCTTTAAAGAAACCTACAAGTATTCAGTCAGACCTGGTCCGACTAGATTCTACCGAGGTGTTGTAGTAAATCAGTCACTAATTAAAGGTACAGTGCTGTCATGAAAAGAAAATTTGATTTCTTCAAGAATTACTGAATATAACTTAACGTAAGAGCCCGTTTTATCTTCAGTATGCCCTTCATGTCGGTCTACATCCATGTCTGTCCAAAAGGTCATCACTTCATCATTTTATACTATTAGACATTTGTATGAAATTGTCATAATAAGCTTATGAAGTCAGTGGGTGGGCGATATGACCTAAATTTACATCACATTATTTCTGTTATTTTTGAGGTGATTACAAAATCAAAAGAGATAATCTGATCAAAACATGATTCTACCTACTATATCAGGAGCCTGACTCATGTCAATGAAATTTTTTATATACACACATACATATACACCCACACACACACACACACACACACACACACAC